AAACTTCATATCTTCCCTTGATCCCCAGGGTTCTCGGATTTCAGGACTCCTCTGATGTGTCTGCTATGGGCAGGCTCTCCATTCATTGTGCTCCTGGGGGCTTTCATTCTGAAAACCAGCATCCGGATATTTTCTTGATGTTACTGCCTGAATGATTGCTCATTCTTGCCACTCTTCCCGAGCTCCGGCTAGTTAGATGCAGCACTCCTGAATCGATCATCCTGTTCTCATACTTTTGCTCTCTTTTTTTTCTGTCTCTGTCACATTATTCAGCTTTTAGGAGCCGTCCCAGTTGGAACATTTTATTTCTTTCATCAAAATTTTACTTTTTAAGCTTGGTTCCCTTGTCTCGGACTGTGTTTTTTTGTGACTGCCTCACTTCCCGGCTAGGGTTTCAACTCTTTTGTTCTAAAAACTCAGCACCAGTGGTGTCCAAGAGAGTTGGTGGTAAACACGGCCTCCATTAAAACATGAAATATGTAGGCTTAAAGTTAAATAAATTACATGAAACATAAAGGTAAAATACTCAAAGCGCATTGCTTCCTGGCTGCGGTGTGCATTTTGCTGTGACTGTGTTCTAGGGGTTGCATGTCCTTTGTGTCCGTGTGGTGAACATGCTGTGCATCTCTCCCTGGCTCTGTGTTCAGTGACACTCCCTGGCTCTGTGTTCAGTGACATCGTGTTCGGAAGCTTCAGAGAAGCATTTACACTGCAGAGACCAGCATGCCTCCCTGTGCCCCAGGACCAGTTGTTCAAACTAACCAGCAAGCTGCTGGCTACTGCTTACCTATTTTTCTTTCTTTCTAGCTTCCAAAATCATCTCTTCCCCTTCCTCCTTTGTTTTTTTTTTTTTTTTTTTGGAGACAGGGTCTTGCTCTGTCATCCCAGGGAAAGTGCAATGGTGTTATCATAGCTCATTGCAACCTCGAGTCCAGGGATCCTTCTGTCTCAGCCTCCTGAGTAACAGGGACTACAGGTTCACACCACCCCGCCTGGCCAATTTTTGTATTTTTTGTAGAGATGGAGTCTTGCTTTTGCTCACATTGGACTTGAACTTCTGGCTGCAAGCCATCCTCCTGCCTCTGTCTCCCAAAATGATAGGATTACAGGTGTGAGCCACCACGCCTGGCCACTCCCTCCATTTTTATCCTTATGGTTTATGTCTTTTTAAAGTGTCATTTCATTGTGTTTCAGGAGAAAGTTGAGATAAATCTCGGGGGTTCTGAACACCTGTTTCCAGAGAGAGAGAAAACCTCCCTTCTTCAGGCTCTGGTTCTAAGGCTCACTGTTGCACACCACAGAGGACCCACTGTTGTTAAGAGACCAAGACGGGGATTTTTTTTAACAAAATGATTGTTAAAGGAATTGGATTCTTTATAGACCACTGCCCTCAAATAGAAACTCAACTTTGAATATTTGATACACAAAATGAACCATACTCTATGGGCCTCATGTCGCACAGCCAGAAATTGTCCCTTGGTGTGGACACTCACCTCGTTCAGGTGTCCAGCTCAGCAGCCTTCAGGCTCCTTTTATGGGCAGGGACGGCCTGGGGCTGTTTATTGGTGGCTTTAAAAGAATCTAGTTTTTAGATCAGTTTTAGGTTTACAGCAAAATTGAGAGATTTTGAATATGTACCTTTTCCCCCAATACCTGGTCTCCCCACTGTGAGAACTGCCCACGAGTGGTGCTTTGGTGACAGTCAGTGAGCCTGCATTGGTCTGTGATTGTGCGGAGTCCAGGCTGACATTGACTTTGTGTTGTGGACTCTGTGGGTGTGACAGATTTATAAGGACATGTACCCACGAGTGCGGTATCGTAGAGTCGTTTCACTGCCCTAAAATCCCCTGTGTTCTGCCTCTTCCTCTTCAATCCCTGACAGCCACTGATCTTTTGAGTGTCTCTGTAGTTTCGCCTTTTCCGGAGTGTCCTGTAGTTGGAATTATACAGTGTATAGCTTTCTCAGATTGACTCTTTTCGTTTTAACAAGAATGTAAAGTTCCTCCCTGTCTTCTCATGACTGGGCAGCTCCTTATTTTTAGCACTGAGTAGCGCTCCCTTGCCCTGGGCTTTCCTCACACCTGCCTTCTGCCTTGTCTTTGCAGGCTCTGCATCTGTCCTTAGAGAAGCTATCCCTTCTCTATGCCTGGCCTCTTATCACCACCTCTTGTTCTGTCACAGTTCATAGCCATTTTCTCTCTGTGTGTGGACCTCTACCCAGCTGGGGGACACGCCACTAGGGGCCACCTCTGCTTTGTTCCCCACTCTGCAGTGGCCTGTGCCTAGGTTGGCCTGGGGCTGGGTGCACCTTGGGAAGCTGGTGTCAGTTTGGGTTTCATTGGGCTGGGACTGTAGCCCTCAGGCCTAGGCCCTGGCCTTTGTCATGTATGGCAGGAGCTGTCCACCATGGCCCTGCCTCCTCTTCTGTGTGGAGCTGGTGTCAACACCCACTGTGTGAGTGTACAGCGCTCTGCTGCTGAAAGGGGTGGGACCGTGTGGCCGCCTCCCTGATGCTGACTCTCACTAGCAAGGAGATGCCTGTCACACAGAATGGAGAGAGGCCACGCCCCTAAAAAGCCATGGAACCTTTGTTCTAAAAGGTGGGGTAGACAGTTTTTAATAGGAACTTTTAAGGGACTCTGTGGATAGCTTGTCATCATTGCCATGGTCCTTTCCCCCATGTCTGTTATCAGTATGATGAGAACCAAGAATGACAAGGAAGCAGGACCATAGTGGACGTTTCCGTGTGCTGAGCCCTCCTGGCTAGTTGCTTCTGCACAGCCTTTCCTGCTGTGCGTGGGCTCTGTGGGGCCAGGCCTGCTTTGTTCAGGCTTAGCTGGAGTTCCTGTCATGTTTGTCAGGTCAGGGAACACTGTCGTTATCAGATGCTCGTTGATCAGCTATATATCATTATCCGATAGTCACAGGCGAGCTAATTGTCCTAACAATTCTGTAGGCCAGGTGGGGCTACGTCTCATACAAGTAAAAAGTGACACCATAATGGCAAGGAGTTGCAAGTGTGCCCAGAATTCAGAATATCTGAACCTATAATTTAGTGCATTTTCTGCATTTGGACCTTGTGTTGGAACTATTGGCTGTTTGGGAGCTCAGTGTGGGGCAGCTTTTGGGGAGCCACTGTTAATTAAAGACCATACAGGGGAGAAGCCTCTCAGGTAGATTAATGAGACTGTTGTGCGGTGGGACACACACAGGTGACTTCTGGAAGAGACATATTTGGAAATGTTCTCTGAGTCATGTTGACCGGCAGAAGGAACAGACATTACACAGCCTTGTGAGGCACTGAGCTCTGGACGTTCAGGTCTGGCCAGCACAGTGTGGTGGACATGAAGGGGAGAGGTTGGACCGAGGTGGAGCAGGGGTGTCCAGGGCTCCGGTGACCTTGATGAAAAATGTGGGTTTTACTCTAAGCGATGGGAAGGTATGGTAGAACATTTCAGGTGAGGAAATGACGCAGTCTAATTTACGGTAAGAACATTACTCAGGTCACTGCTCCTGTGTGGGGAATGGATTGCAGGGAGTTTGTATCAGTTTTAAATTATATCTGTGGGTAATCAAAATCTGAAAACAAGCAATTTAAAGAGATCAGCAATCTGGAATAGACAGCAGAAAGCAGGTGCAAAGTCTTCACTATGTGACCAGAGTCTCAGACTCTTACAGGTTTCCCCTTTGCTGTTCTTAGAATCAGCCCTTATCGCATGGTCACAAAAATGGCTGCCGGAGACCAGCCACCAAATTCTAGTTGCAGGTAGCAGCGTGGAAGAGCTGAGGGCAAAATGCAATTCCTAGCTGAGCCAGCCTCCTTTAAGGAACTTTCCTGGAATTCCTATGTAATAAATCTGGCTTCTAGTTCTTTGGCTGGAACTGTGATCAGAGAAGCTGGGAGATACAGTGTTCTCTACTTCTCAACACTACAGATTGGTGCAAATCGCTGAATGTCATGCCTGGGGCTGTACCGATGCTTTGGCCTCTGTCACTCTGTCTTTGTGAGGTGCATCCATTCTTGGGTGTGGCCGTGTCTTGTTCCAGTTGTGGAAACATTTGGTTCATCTATTCACAGGTTGACGGACCCCGTAAGTCTCCAGATTGCGGCTCTTCTGAATAAAGTGGCTTGTTCTCCTTGGCAGTGTTTTGGGGGACTGTGTAATGCTTTCTCTGGGGTCTGCACCCAGGATAGCATTGCTGTGTTACATAGTTCATGGGTTTTCCGACCAATTCAGTTACGTTCTCATTTCTTTTGTGTTAAAAAACTCCCATTTTCTAGCATTTTATTACATGATTTTTTACACATGCAGCAAAGTTGAAAAGAATTTAAAGTGAGCACCTGCTTGCCCACCACCCGATCCATCATTATCTTTTTTCTAGGCTGACTTCGTTATCTGTTTTATCCATTCTCTGTTCATCCCCTGAAACTGGTTTTTAATTAAGAGAAGTGTGTCATTAACACACGGACTGCTCAGTGCCTGGGGGCACTGCCCCGGTGTGCACGGAAGGGTGTGTGCCAGCCTGTGAGTTTAGCTCCACAGCCCTCTGGTCTCGCCGGCTGTTCTCCTTCCTAAGCATTGTAGGAGTTAGGAAGCCAGAGTCTCCAAGGAAAACAAACCTGTGTTCTGCTCCCTTCATCCTCATCTCATTACCAGCTGGACGTAGTGGCCACGCAGGAAGGAAGCTGGGCAGACCACTAGGCTGACGTGTCTGCTGGGTGCCCTGCCACCCAGCCTCAGGTCCTCATTTGTGTATCTCTCTGTGTTCCAGGTGGGGGCTGGGGAGCAGCAAGCACTGATTCCTGGTGGCTCCCAGCTTTGCTCCTCTGCGCCCTCCTAAGAGCCTCCATTCCCTGGGCAGCCTGTGTATTCCCCAGCAGATGGTTCTGTGGTGAGAGAGGTAGGAGGGTGGGGCAAGAGGGGCGCATTTAGCAACAAGAAGCAGGCCTGTCACCCTTCACGTGTCCTGACTTCCGTTTCCTTTCTTCCCAGCATTTCTTCTGAGGGCACAAGAAGCACCAAGTGGCCTTTGACACTGCGGTGGTGACAGTGGCCCCTCCTCACCTAGTGAGCCAAAAATGTGGATTTTGGGGGACCCTGCCGCTCATCAGCTCAGGGCTGTACTGCTGGCCCCGGTCTGGGGGTGCTGAGTAGCAGCTGTGGGAACACGCCCGCCCTGGCCACCTGCTGTCCCTGAACCTTTGCTGCTGAAGCCCTTTGTGGCTGCCTCTGCCCGTTAAGGATGTACGCCCCCATGGAGGGGCTGCTCACGGCCCTCCTGGTGGTGTTTGGGATGGCAGTGGCCTTTGCATCTATACCTCGGATCACCTGGGAGCACAAAGGTGGGTATTAAAGCTTGCGCAGGTGCCAGTGGCAGGAGGACGGAGAGGTGACCCGCTGCTGGCATGCTGAGGGGATGGCTGAGAACAGGGACCCACCGCTGAGGTGTGACACAGCTGGCTAGGACATGGGTGTTTAATCTGCTGCCTTCTCTGGTCCTGAAACTTTTGTCTGGGCAGAGGGACCTGGGTGAAGCTCTCTAAAACGAGGCATCTATAACTAGGATATTCTATAAGACTTGTGTGGGCCCCAAACTTGGTTTCTGAAAGGAAGCTTGTCTCCCCTGAAAGGAAGCTTGTCTCCCTGTATCTGGTGCTGTTGGAGGCCTGCTGTGGCCTGGCCCCTGGGGACTGGAGAGGAACAGTGGCTCCTGTGAATACAGTTAGTCATGCAGGTGGCTGAGCTCCGTGCATCACTTCACGTGCTGTCTTTGGTTTTTGTTTTAGTTATTTCATCTCTTGGGAGATGTGTCTTGGGACCCCTGGTCTTTCTGACTTGGCGTATTGAGAGTGTAACTACTGGGTCCCGAGCAAGGTACTGCTTGCAGGAAAGACTATGCACTGCCTTGAGCAGAATTACAGGCCAGAGAGGCACTGTGAGGGCCTGCCTGCAGCCTGTGTGTGCGTCTCTCTTCCAGGGAGCATTAGAAAGACAGAAAGCGTTAGCACCTGACTCTTGAATAAAGCAGACCCTTGGTGATTATATAGAAAGCCAACTTCGACATGTTCAAATTCATGCCAGGACTGTTGAAAAGGAAATACAGCTCCTTAAAAAATAATGTAGACACATTTATGTTATTCCTAAGCATCCGTTAGTTAAATCCTCCTATTCTTAAGTAGCAACTGAGGCAATTACCTAATAAGCAAATGAATATCACTTGTTTCTCTGTTCTGTATATTTGTTGTGATCACCGAAAATTGCTTGGTTTGACAGACACTTCTCTAAAATTGATTGAAAGGTTTTGAAGTAAAACTTTTTTTCCTAAGAAAATCCTAAATCATTATATTCTTGGTGGAGCTAACCTGTGGGTGACTAAGGACACACCCCCCCCGGAGCTGGGCAGGCAGGTGGTAGGAGCATCTGAGGAGTGCTGGGTTTGGGACTCAGCAGGGCTCAGGGGCGGGGGGGGGGGGTGGTCAGGTGCCCAGCTCAGGGCTCTGGGGCTCAGGCTGTGAGCAGGTCTCACACAGACTTGGTGAATTGCGGGTCTGCTCCAGGGGTGCCTGGCCATGGCATCAAATGGGAGTGACTTCTGCAGCTGTATGAGAGGCAGCCCCATATGGCCCTTTAGATGTGATAGACACCCGAGGATTTGTGTGGGTATAAGATGCTCCTTTGGCTGTTTCTCCCTTTCCCTCCTCTGACCCTGCCCCTTGCATCCCACAGAGGTACAGCTGGTACACTTCCATGAGCCGAACATCTACAACTACTCGGCCTTGCTGCTGAGCGAGGACACGGATACCCTGTACATCGGTGCCCGGGAAGCGGTCTTTGCGGTGAATGCACTCAACATCTCCCAGAAACAGCATGAGGTATGTCCTGGTGTCTGCACAACCCACCTGAGTGAGTAGCCTTTCTTGCCCTGCGCGGGCTGAGGGCTGCCAGCACTTCCTTATGGTGCCCATGGCTGTGCAGCCCCATTGGTTGGCTAGCAGCTCCCCTGCGGATCACCCTCTTCTTAACTTTCATTTTGGAACTTTGTATTATGGAAAAATCTCAAACATGCCCATGAGCAGAGACAGTGGTATCCTGAGCCCTGTACCTGTTGCATCTTCCACAAGGCCAAGGTTAGGCTTTCAACCCTGTCTTCTGTGTCCTCTGCTTCCAAGGAGACCAAGGCTAATCCTAATCCCTGTACATTCAGTCTCCGTTTCTTTTTTTTTTGTTTTGTTTTGATATTGCCCATGGCATTATAGTTCACAGCAACCTCAAATTCCTGGGCTCAAGTGATCCACCTGCCTCAGTCTCCTGAGTAGCTGGGATTACAGGCACCTACCATAACACCTGGCTAATTTTTCCATTTTTAGAAGAGATGAGGTCTTGCTTTTGCTCTGACTGGTCTCGAACTCCTGAGGTCAAGTGATACACCTGCCTTGGCCTACCAGGGTGCTAGGATTACCTGTGTAGCCGCCATGCCTGGTCCGTTCAGTTTCCATTTCTAGGAACCAGCCTCAGTTTACTTGCTAAGAAAGCCGCTCTGCACAGCCCCGTGTTACTCCTGCTTCCTCGCAGTATCTGTCTTACTCCTCTGTCTTCTAAACATCCTCTGCTGGGTGTCAGGGCCCCAGGCTCGGCTACTTAGGGCTGGTGAGAGGCAGGTTCCTCTGGGAGGTGGGCGTTCTTCCTCCAAAGCCTTAGCCTTTGACCATCAAAGTCTGGATCCACATTTCATTAAAGATCACAGAACCTGATACTCTGGGTCCACCTTTTTGTCTTCATTTGTTAGCTCGAAGTCATCCACCAAGGGGAAATGCCAGCAGCACCCATCATGGTCCCTAGAGTCCAGTTCTTTGGGAAAGGCAAGATGGGTGCTTGAATCTTTGTCTTTGCCACCAGTTTTCTGTTGCCTCAGAAGGGCAGCAGTGAGTTCTTTGATTGATTGGTTTTTAGTACCATAGGGAACTCAGGGGTTTAAACATATTAAATGTGCTTTGCCCCGTGACAGTTAAATCCTCTTTCACCCTTGGCCAGTGGCAGCCTCTTTAGATTGGTTCCCGCATCCTAGCATTTTGCAGAAGTTTCCTTGCTCTTCGGAATTAGTCTGCTCTGAGCTCATGTTGTATGTTTTCTGCCCCATATCTGTTTTTTTTTTTTTTTTCAGGATCTAGCATGATTCTTAATTTCTATTTGATGCATAAATGAGCTCTGAGGCTCGGTGCCTGTAGCTCAGCGACTAGGGCGCCAGCCACATACAACAATGACTTGCCAAACAACAATAAACAAACAACAGTGTTTGGCCTGCCAAACAACAATGAAAACTACAACTAAAAAATAGCCAGGCATTGTGGCGGGTGCCTGTAGTCTCAGCTACTTGGGAGGCTGAGGCAAGAGAATTGCTTAAGCCCAGCAGTTTGAGGTTACTGTGAGCTGTGATGCCATGGCACTCTACCTAGGGCAACATAGTGAGACTCTGTCTTAAAAAAATCCATAAATAAGTAAGCTCTGAGCCTTCCCCTATACAAACAAAGTCATTCACACTGCGAGGCAGTTGGGGGCAGGATGCTGTGGTCTCACCTCTCTCAGCCCGACACTGTCCCGGCGTTGGTTAAGTTCCCTTTCTCTGGGCTTTTTCCTGACCACACGGGGAACTGTGGACAAGCTACCTATGTGCTGGCCTCACTCATGTCCAGTGAGAGCAGCCCTTGCTCAGTTAATGGCATTGCAGTGGTCCCTTGGGCTGGGGGAGAGGCTTAGGGGGCTCTTACACTAAAAAAGAAAAGAACAAGATGAAGGGACTGGGCTGAGGGTCAGTGAAAACCCCTGCACATGTGATCAAGGGCCTGTTACAGTTTCTGTTCTCTTGCCCTTCTGCATTTTGTGTATGTTAATGATGAAATCACCTGTGTTTTAATTTCTAAAGGAAGTTGCTATTTTAAATGCAACTTTGTTCTGCTTTCTTGTGTGCTAACTGGGACTTCCATTTCTATGGAAATACACTCCGTTGGTGCAGTGTCCACTGCTTGCGCACTTTGCAGGGACCCGCTGGATTGTTTTAAAGTGGAGCCCATGTGAAGTACCCCTCCTCATGGCCCTCACACCCAGTGTTATGTGCTTCCTGACCTCTGAGCACCACACCTGCTGTGAGCCTCTGGATGAGAAAAATGTATTCTTTTTTTTCTGTCAGTTATGGAGTGTCACTCAGGGAGGTGGGCATTCAGGGGAAGATGAGGCAGAGAAGAAAAAGGCTCTGTAGCCTCTCCCTTTCATCTTCTGTTGCTTTCCATCCTGTGAGGTCTTTGGAGGGCCAGGGGCCAAGGCCCCCGCATCCTGGCAGTTTCTGTTCATGAATCCGGCCTAGCTTGAGAGAAGAGGTGGGAGGAACCTGGCTCTGACTAAGCAGGTCACTGGACCTCTAAGAGAGCTGAGTTTCTCTGTTGCTCCCATCTGCCGTCAAGGCACAGGTTTGAGGGACTGTCCTTCTGTTCCTCTCATAGAGTGAATGTCAAGACTTTTTTTTAAAAACTGGGCTCTAAGGCTGAGTGCAATGGCTCATGCCTATAATCCTGGCACTCTGGGAAGCTGAGGTGGGAGGATCACTTGAGCTCAGGAGTTCAAGAGCAGTCTGAGCAAGAGTAAGATCCCATCTCTATTAAAATTAGAAAAATTCGCTGGGTGTTGTGGCGGGCACGTATAGTCCCAGCTACTTGGGAGGCTGAGGCAGGAAGATCACTGGAACCCAAGAGTTTGAGGTTGTTATGAGCTAGATGATGCTCCTCTGTATCGGGGTCCTCGCCCTGGGGGCAGGGTCCATTACGACCTGTGGAACTGGTGCAACCAACTGAAGAAATATAGAACTATGATAAACAAAGAGACAGGAGACAGAGAATAGAATTTTCTTTTTTTTTTTTTGAGACGGAGCCTCAAGCTATCCCCCTGGGTAGAGTGCCATGGCATCACGCTCACAGCAACCTCCAACTCCTGGGCTC